AAATGTTCACTTGTTATGAGAAGTATAGTTTTTGTTGTGCCAAAACCGACATACATAAATATAATATAAGCAGAGTGTCTGATTTACATAAATACATAAATCATTTCTTATTTCAAAAGATAAAATGTTATCGTGGTATAATTTGCATATGAAAGTTTCCCTATAATAGTTATAAATCACATATGATTTTGTTGATAAAACGCGTATAATGAAACATTATGTAACACAAAATAATAATCGAGTTTTTTACTTGTATTCCCCCCTTAAAAGCATATAAAAGTACTTATAAAACATTTAAAAATGTGAATTATAGGGGTATGAACTCACTTGAAAGATCGGAGAAGGCGGGATGAAAACCGGATAGAATTTCGACTCGAGAAAGCAGATTTTCTCAGGATTCTCGGGAATCTCGGGAGCACAAACGACCCTCGGGACTTGAGCAATGTGACCGGGACTTCGGGATAGCACGGGCATGGAAAACGAGGTAAAAACACAAGAGATATGAGAGAGAATGGCCCTTCTCTTCGGAACCCTCGCATCCCTTTTATAGGGGGTGTGAACCGCCTCCGTACGCAAGGCGTACGCGCGTACGCTGGGCGTACCCATGCGTCACGCATGCGCGCATCCTCGACTACCTTGGACTCCCGAATGGGACTTAACATAGCTCGCATAGGGTGCGACGTGGACGATCCGAGGCCAAGGCCTTGAGTACGCTGGGCGTACTCGGGCGTGACTTAGCCTTCGGATAATACCGAAGTTTCCAATTAAAGTTTATATTTTTAATATTTAATAAACTTCGAAAATTCATATCTTCTTCATATGGACTCTGTTTTCGACGTTCTTTATATCCACGCGTAGGTGAGACTGTACTCTACAACTTTCGTTTAGATTCCATCGGCAAATTTTGAAATTATTTTTAAAAGGTCACGGTAAGAAAATTTCTTTAAAAATTCATAACTTCATTATCTGACGTCTGTTTTTTCCAGACTTTTTACGTTGAAAAACCATTGTCGAGACCTTCGATTCTCATTTAGGTCATTCCGATCAAAAGTTGCTCGATCTCTGTTTCGAGTTTTTAGTTGTCCGTTGCTAAGCCGAACTTGGAAAATTCATATCTTCCTTATACAATGTCATATTTGGGCGTTCTTTTTACGTACGATCACGGGTTATTGACATCTAATATAATAGGTAATTTAATTAGTGATTTTTGGATATTTTATTTTCAAAGTTAATTTCATTATAACGAGCATGGTTACAATACTTGACTTTTTAGGTCGTTTACATAGAATTGAAATATCGGGTTGTCACAATTCATGACCGCATATAATCAAAGGCGAGATAGATACCCGGAAAGATGAATAAACTCTAGAACGACAACCAAATAAGGAACAAGTAAAAGAGCTTAGATCAAGAGTCCTCAGATAACCAAAACTAGTGGGCCAATATTGGTGCCTTTGAGCCGTAGGTACAATGAGGCTAAAATCACCTGAAATTAAGAGACATGAGAACACTGTGATATGCTCCTTGCTACACTAATTGCTCCCCCGGATCCACTAATATCGGAACCATATAAAATTTTAATCACCAATCAAAACCCTAAATTTTGACCTAAAGTCAAACTTGCTAAAAAAGTTGATGGTAAATGAAGTCAACAAAAGTCAAAGTCCAAGGTTGGTTGAGTATGCCTAGAGTACTCAAAATATTCCCCACATACATGGGATGGCTTAGTACGCCCAACGTATGAAAATTACACCGAACATACTAGAGATGGTTCCATCCTTTCCATTAAGTAGTTAATCCCTTAAGGACTTTTCACCCAAACTCAGATCTGGCCTCAAGACATTGTCTTAAGTCATAAAGTTTCCACCTTTATGACTTTCCATGGCTAGTGAAGGTCCAAAGGCTAAAACCCTAACTTATTAATCCATTAAGACGTCACAAATCTTGTATGGAAGGGATAGAAGAACCAATATCACATTTTTATGGTTCCTAATAGCTCCATAATGGAGAAAGTTTCCAACTTTATCCATTAGAATGGTCCCAACAGACAAGATCTAGTCTTTAGGTCATAAAGGTACCAAAAGTGCATCTTTTTCAACTTAATCCATTAAGTCCAAGTCTCCAACCATCAGATCTGAATCAATATGATGTTTAGATGGATAAAATTTCCAACTTTATCCATAACAAGGTCACAAACTTCGAGGATCCAAAAATTATGCACTTAAAGTGACCAAAAGCTCATAACACCCAAAACTAGCAAGATCTTACAATTTCATCATCAAAATTCAAACTTCATACCTCCAAGAGAAAGGTAAAGGTGAACAAAGTCTGAATCTACAAGCTCAATGCAACCAACACTTCTTCAATGAGTTTCGTTTTCTCCAAGGTGAACCACGAACACTCCAAAACACTTAAAAACAACTTATTTTTGCTCACAAGGCTCAAACTAGATTAGGGTTTTAAGAGAGGGTGTTGGAGAGGTGGAGGCTGAGAATGGAGTGGGTTTGGGGAAGTTAAGGTGCTTAAATAGGGCTCAAATCATGAAAATAGGTTTTGGTCACTGATCGCATACACCCAACATACTCATGGTATGCCTAGTATAGTAGGGCTGCCCTAGTATGCCCATCATACTCCATGTACACCCAGCGTACGCGACTAGTCGAAAAAATTGCAATAACTTCAAACGGAAAGGTATTGAAGAGCTCTACAATATTATCTAAATAACTTGGGTTAAAAAATTCTCAAACAAAAATCCATATGTCATGCATGAACTCGGCCTATGACTTTTCTCGTTTTTACCTTTCGGACCAATACACAATTCAAGGGTTAGATCTCTCAACTATCATTACCTCCTTCAAAAAGGTCTAAGACTTACCTCCTTAAGGCCAAAACCTTTTACACACTCGACTTCTATCCCACGACCCTGAAATTAGAAATGACATGAAAAATGATGTTACAATTCTCCCCTGCTTGAATTAGATTTCATCGTCGAAATCAACTCTCAACTTCATGATGCAACCCCTCACATCAACCATACTAACCGAAAACCCACATATTTGATTGGATCGAAACCTCCTCGGCCAAATGCCATCATATTAATCCCACACATAAGTGATCATCGTGATGAGAACCAAGTGGTCACCTACCAAACTAGGCCATGCTCCTACTTGGCTCCAAAAACCCTACTTACCTATCTACTGACAATACTCAGGCTTAAACTTAATCCACTAACCGAAAACAACACTTGAGCCTAGCCCCAATCCACTAACCAACAACAACACTCAGGCCAACAAAATTAATTGATCCTACCAAGTCTTTGGGTCATGACTCAGACCTCTAAGCCCTAATAAAAAAGAATGGACAACGATGCCCTCATCGCATCCCTCAACCTGGGCTCGTAAGACCCTAGATTCTAAAGCACAAGCATTCCCTACATATAATGCCACAACTAAAAATAATACGGCTTGAAGGGAAAACCAACAACTGACGATGATCTTGATGCGAAACCGAAAGATTCAGCAGCTGCACAGAATTCTTGAAATTGGAGAAATATAACTAAGAAGCGAACCTTAGCACAAGGTCTTCCTGTTATGAGGATCCACTCGTACCCACTTGAATATACTTGAATTTGACAACTTCACGGTCCTTTGGTTCCCTACTACACCTCCATTCAGCTGATCTCGAACTCCGGATAACGGACTTGAGTTGCTTTGTTGTAGTCTAGGACTAAATCCAAGCCTTACACTGGTCCATTCTCTAGGTCTCTATATAAATTTGTCTCCAATTGTAGCATCCTGAAGCTCAATGAGGGTAATGTATCGATGCATAGACACAAACGGCCGAATATCCATCTTGAGCATACTCAAGTACCGAGTCATCTGAGCCTGCTCCGTGGCAGCAAAATCAGGGCAGAAGAGAGCCCTCTCCGTAAATATCTTGCTTATCTTTATCCCTATCTTAGTAGTCTGCCTCAAATCCAAATACTCCTGAGCCAACCTCTCCCTCTCCACCAAGGGACCATACCTCACACACAACATCTCTGAGAACTGCTCCCATGTACATTACAAGAAAAAAGGGTATCAGAGACTGACATATTCAGTATTTGATGGTTAATAATCAGTCTCTAATGAGAATCAGGGACTGATTTCACTAGTCCTTAGGTAGTTCCAGAAACCTAGTCCTAGATGGTGTTTTTTTTTATATATGGGACTGAAAATCAGTCCTTAATATGTAATAGTTTCAAAGATAGATAATCAATCCCTGATAATACCAAATTCAGTCTTAAATGTGTTTTCTTTAAATCCAAGATTTCATATAAGATCAGTCCCTGATAATAACTTTTGTGGACTAAAAATTAGTCTTACATACTACATCATTCAGTCTCCAATACGCTTCATTAAAATCCTTACTCAATGCATATTAGTCCTTGATAATATTTATTTAAGACTGAATATCAGTCTCAAATGTTATCATCCTCTGTCTCTAACCTGAGTTTTATTGACTGCATATCAGTCTCATATACACATTCATTCAGTCCCTAACCCGATTTTTTAGTTAGCATATGTCAGTCATAGATACATTTTCGTTCAACACCTAACCAGATTTTTTCAGTAACTGAATGTCAGTCTTAGATAGAATTTCATTTAGTCCTAACCGAGATTTTTAGTGACTGAATATCAGTCTTAGATACAATGAAATTTTCTCCCTAACCTGATTTTCTAGTGACTAAATATTACTCTCATATATAATTCCATTCGGTCCCTAACCTGCTATTGTTTCAAACCAAAGTTTAGTCTTAAATTAACATTGATAGTGACTAATATAAACAATGCACTTGTTAATACACCAAAATAAACTAGTACTATATAAATAAACCGTAATTTAAACATCATATCCAAATTTAAAACAACAAACAAAAACGTCTAAGAAACTAGTCAATAACTAAACGATACGTGAAAGAATTTCCAAATTTTAATAACCGGTCAAGAATGTTACACTTGCTATGCTTGCTCTGATAGATCTGTTATGTCATCGTACGCACGAGCTTCGTCTTCATCGGGTGGACATAATATGTTTTGAGAATTTGGGAACTTCGAGAAAATAAATTGGAACATTTTTTCACATTTTTCCTCACTTTGTTTGACTTTTTGTTCATTTATTCGAACCTCCTCCTCAAGTGCAACAACCTTACTTTTCATATCTTCTTCATCTTTTGAGGTTGATTGAGATGTTTCTGCGGTTGATAAGAGATGTATATCCTTTTTCCTCATAACAGGTCCACTTAAAGCCTCCTATCCATATTGTAATGTTTTATGTTTGGCACAAATAGTTTTAATGACTTTTTTCTCTATGTCGTATTCCATTTCTTGAGTAATGCTTGTTCCCTCTGAAACTAATTTGGCACATTCTTCCTCCTTGAGTTGGAGAATATTTTCCTAATACAACATAAAAACATATTATAATAACTTATAACACCAATATCAATATATTATAACTATAAATAAATATTAGTCAAGAAATCATTCTTACATATTGAATGCATGACTCATCATTTTTCCATTTCTTTATAGGATCAAAATGCAACTTAGGATATAACTCGATCGGGCTGGGGGGGGGGGGGGGGGGGCATTTGAGTCTCTTTATTTGTATGCAATAATAAAGATTAATATAAGTAAAGGTAAAAAATAAATTTTCTTGAATATATTAATTGAAATATGAATTAATTTGATAGTTTACCATGGAAAATTTGTGATTTGCTATCGATCTTGAGCCTCCTCTACTTGGAATAACAAGTTTTCCCCGATTATGTTTTGTTTGTTCAACATATTGCTACAAAATTTGAACTATACGTGGTTAATAATATATAAATAAGAGTCAATTACATAAAATGTGTATGTGCAAGATTGAGAGAATTTTGTTATAGGTGTATACTTTTCTATATTTGGCAGCGCATGTTATATAATACTACAAGAAATAAAATAAGAATTCTAAGATGAAATTATAAGGTTTATAGAATTTAATAATTACCTTTTGCTTTATCCGATTCCCAATAATCTCACAAATAACCCCAATCTTCTTCGCTACGACAATCTGGCTTCATTTTAGATCTTGCAAATTGTGGATTTGTCATTCCTCCATTTTTCTTCCAATAATCTTTGAAAATATTTCGTGTGTGTTTCCATTGCCTCCGCATTTGTTCATCTACATACTCCATCAGAACTTTATCTTTGTGCGATAATTCAAAATTTTCCTACATTTAATACATAAATTAAAATTGAACATTATTAATTAAAGTTTAACAATAAATTACTTCCATTTATGAATTTTAAATTTTAACAAAAAAATGAATAGATTTAGGAAAATGATATTTAACTTACACGTAATTTGTTAATCATTTCTTCTTTCTTTTCTTTTGCTACTTTCTCCCATGTACGGAATTCCATTTGACAAAAGCTCGACATCACAATTCCAACCTCCGTTGCAAAAGATATTGCTGAATCCCTAATGAATTTCTTTGTATAGGTATCTCTTGTCAATGTACTTCTAGCATTAGGTTGTTTTTCCAAAATCTGTGAAGCCTTTTTATTAATATTAGTGCCTCGCCTCCACCTCTATGGTTGATCTACACGACATAAAGTATATATCACCTAATGCATAATTTGTAATATTATAAATAAAAGAATAAATTGTCTACTATTACTTGGAACGACTTCCTCTGTGACTAATGAAGTCGGTTGAGTATTTTCTCTAGAACCACTCCCTCCTGTTTTTGTAGTCACATAAGCGTGTAAATGTATAAACATAAGTGGAAAGAAGAAAGAAACACAAAAATCACAGCAGGCCAGAGACATAAAAACAAGATACAGAGGCGAAACATATGAAGAAGAAAACAGGGGGAAATTTTTCAGGGAAAATTTTCTTGTACTCCAAGCTTTGCTGAGAAAAATATGAATAAAACTTAATTAAAACATCATAGATACATATCCTATTCATAATAAACCAAAAAAATCCTAATCTAACAAAAAAACTAAAAATATGATGGTTTTTCCCAAAATACCCCTGGGTGAAACCTATCCTAGAGTTTGATTATTCCAACAGATGCCATGAAAGGATGTAACGGTTCTATGTTTATGATGCCAGGATAGATAGAGACAAAGAGATATAGACTAAATTGAAGGAGATAATTAATAAAACAAACAAGGATTTGGTTTTCTTTCTGGTTTTCTTCTCTGGCAATCACAGTGGAATTGTTGTTATTTTTTATAAGAAAGCATGGGTGTATATGCATGGTGTGATGATCTTTAAAAACTAAAAAAAAGGATGCAATAGAAGACATAGCAGTGGCTTTTATAAAATAAAAAAGAAAATGATATTGTAATCTATCTTCACTAAGTTGTGTTAAGCATGGGTGTATATCCATGGTTTGATGATCTTTACCTGTAGTACCCGATTTGGGAAAAGAATCCGTATATTGGCAAACTATTGGCTCATTTGTGTTAGACACAATTCCTTCACCAACAAGCAAATTTGATGTTGATTATGGATTTTTTCTCGGACCACTTCCTACTGCATAAATTAGAAAGTACATTCCCCAAACCCGAATAACAAGAAAATAGAATTACCCAACCGAATAACACCCATACATTGTGTAAGTTGTTTATAAGGTTGTAAAAAGTACATTGTCAAAAATTTCAGATTTAAATTTAAAAACACAAATCAGGTAAAAAAAACAGAAATTTGAAATCCATTACATTTAAATTTTTCTTTAACTCAATTTTTAGTAAACAATAAAAACATATAAGGTTTACCCGTTGCATCAACGGATGCCATAGCACATTTACGTCGACGAAGCATACAAAATTTTGGATCGAGTTCACCTTCACTTCCTTAACCTGATGATGTGACTGAAATTTGTCGAGGTTCTTTTCTTACATGCTTAGTACCTCCGAGATTAACAATCGTCATCATCACCAGAAATATCCACATTTTATCTGCAAAGGATGTAATTTATAGACAAGTTAGTTAGGAGTACACTTATTTATATTCATCGTCTAAAAGTTTTAAATATTAACATATTAAAAACACACCAATGAAGTAGAACTACAGTATAATTATCTATAATCATAGTAAATAAGTTTTAAAAATGTAAATAATTACAAAACACACCAACAAAGTAGAAAAATATTACAATTATTCATATTCATCATCTGAATCATCAAATAGGGCTACATTTGTTTCATCGATATCATCTAAACCCTCTAAATCTTGAGGTTCCTCACTATTTTCTTTGGGGATAGTATCATAATCAATAAAATCATCTAATTCGTCTTCAAAAGCTTCAACATCAACAGTTTCCACAAACTCTTCTTCACCATTTTCTATATGAAACTCGAAATTTTCACAATCTGATGTTTGAATGGGGGTTGTGTCCGACGATGTTCCTACATGTTCGAACATATCCTGTACATCCTCATTATCCGTAATATCCCATAAATTCCTATGTGTGCTTCTTTCTATGATTTTCCATCCTGAGTCACGCGTGGGATCGTTTATAAAGAACACTTGTTTTGCTTGATTTGCCAACACAAAAGGATCTTCGTCATAAGCTTTTTTGGTTGTATCTATAGATATGAAATGAGGTTCAAACATCACGTGCTTCCTTTTACCGTCGGTATTAAACCAAATGCATTTAAATAAAATAACTCGGTATCCTTTTATGAATGAAAATTCAAGGACTTCATTAACATATCCATAGTAATCTTTTTCAACACCATTGTGAATTCCTACAGTTGTGACTGCACAATTTTGAGTCCTCCAATGATCATCTTGTGACTTAATAAGAAATTTAACTCCATTTACTATGTATCCACTATGTGGTATAACTCTGTTATCTGGACCACGAGATAGTGCATATAACTCTTCGTTGATTTTCGATGAATTTTGCTCATACATTGTTCCTATCTATTCACCATTTCCAAAAAAGTAAGGGTAGGTTGATGGTTCTAACATGAGAAAATGATATAAATTATGTTATAGTAACATTACCCGTGATGAAAACCAAGATGGAATCGTAGATTGTTGTAATTCACTGAAATCTAGGGCTGCTTGATGTTGTCTTTCCAAGAAATTCAAGTGCTCACTGTCAAGTGTAAGTAAGCTTTAAATACCTTGAGATACAAAAAAGTGAATTCACTATGAAACGGAAAATGTACTTACTTCAGGTACAGTTCAACTTGTGAACAATTAGTTAACATAAACCACAGTGCTTTCTTTATTGAAATGTTTGAAAGCCTAACTGTTTCTCGCTTCCTAATTCCTCGGCCATTTAATATGAAAATATCTAATTTATAGTCTCGAACATCACTGGTAGTTTCATCGTTATATCTACCTCGCTTATCTAATCTTGAATCAACACCACGTAAATAGTGTGAAAAAATATCAAAGCTTCTTCAATAACATAACCTTCTGCAATTGAACCTTCGGGTCTTGCTTTTTTTTTTCTAACATATTTCCATAAATGGCCGAGATACCTTTCAACTGGATACATCTACCTTGATTGTATAGGTCCTCTTAAAATAACTTCTTGAGGTAGATGAATGCACAAGTGCATCATAACTGTAAAAAATGAGGGAGGAAATATGCGTTCAAGCTTGCAAATAATCTTAACTATCTCTTCTTGCAAACTTTCCAACTCTCTCACAAGTAATGTGGTTGAAGTTAGAATCTTGAAAAATTGAGACAACTCGGTCAATGTATCATGTATACGTTTATCTAAAAGCCCACGAACAGCAATAGGGAGTATATGTAACATGAAGACATGATAATCATGTGATTTAATCCTATATATCTTACTTTGCTCGAGAATAACATTTTTACCCAAGTTTGCGGCATATCCATCAGGAAAACGCAGAGACTTAACTAGAGAGCAAAATTGTTTCCTTTCTATAGGAGTTAAGACATATGGAGCGGGCGGTTTAATCCAACGATCATTTTTCTTCACCAAGTACAGATTCTTGAGTATTTTCATATCTTGAAGATCTCGACGAGCTAGGTCAGTGTCTGTTTTCCTCTTTTCTATGTTCAATAAAGTTCCAAGAAGTTCTCACCCATATTTTTTATAACATGCATGACATCAATGTTATGACGCATTAACAACTTACACCAGTATGGTAGTTCAAAGAATATGCTTTTTTTACCAATTTAACTCACGTTCGCTCCTTCTATGTTTTTGGCCAATGTGAGAATGTTTCTTTCCATGTGGAAAGTAAGGGACATTTTCTAATTGGCGCAATCAATCTTCTCCACTAATATGTTTGGGTGCAATCCTAGACTCTTTTTTCATATTAAAATCTCGTGCATTCCTCCAAAGATGATCATGGGGAAGAAATCACCTATGACCTACATATGCTATTTTCTTTCATATACGAATACTAGATGCATCTTTGTTGCATGTTGGGCATGCCATGTACCCACTTGTGCTCCATCCAGACAAGTACCCATATGCAGGAAAATCTATTGTCCATATAAGTGTTGCACACATCTTGAATATACGTCCCGATTTAGAATCATATATTTCAATACCGTTCTGCCATAGAAGTTTAAACTCACCTACCAGTGGACATAAATATACATCAATATCATTTCCTGGTGAATCTTTTCCAGGAATCAACAAAGCCATCATAAATGAAGCATCAATCATAGACTCCCATGGAGGCAGATTATACAATATAAGCACAACGGGCCACATACTATATGAAGTACTCATCGTTCCAAAAGGGTTGAAACCATCGCTCGCAAGACCTAGGTGTACATTTCTTGGTTCTTTGGAAAAATCAGGGTAGATTGTATCAAAGTGCTTCCATGCTTTTCCGTCTGCGGGATACCTAAGAACTCCATCTCTTTACACTTTTTCTGAGCGTGCCACTGCATGTCCTTTGCAGTATACCTAGAGGCATATAGTCGCTTAAGTCTACTTGTGATGGTAAAGTAACACAAGACTTTGGTTGGAATCTTCTTTTGACGCATTTTATCTTCTACCCAACGACTAGCACCACAAACAGGACATGATTGTAATTCCAAATTTTCCTTCCAAAACAATGCACAATCATTCTTGAAAGCATGTATTGATTCATATCCAAGTCCAAGAGTACGCAAATACTTTTTTTGCCTCATAGTGGGATTTAGGGATTATTGTGTTCTTGAATGCCTCATTCAATAACTTCAGTATCATATCCATGGACACATTTGTCATTTTACATGTTACCTTCACGTGCATCAATCGTAATATAAATCCTAGTACAAAGAAAGTATCATATCCTGGAAATAAAGGTTTCTCCATATTAGTGAATAACTTGTCCACATTTGTATTACTAGATCGATTATAAGACTCGGCCTCATCGTTGTCATCTTCTCTTTCAGTTTTCAGCTCCCACATGAAACACAT